CCAGAGACCCCCCCAAGACCCCCACCCCCCCAGGCGGCCCACGCGGAGCCCCCCTCGCCTGCTGCTTCCTCCGGGCCACGTCCAGCGCCTTCTGCTTGGCCGTCTCGATGGCGTAGGCGTAAGGCGTGGGGAATGAGGCTTTGTTCAGCTTCTCCTTAAACCGGGAGGGCACCACCTCGAACCTGAGACCCTGCAACCGAGAAGAAGGGGGACGGGGGGTTCGAGAAAGGCCAGGACGTGGACAGAGCGGGGGGTGGGGGTCCCCAGACGCGCGGCCTTTTCCCGATGACTGAACTTTCACCCACTGTCCACTCCGGGCCGCTGACCTGGACGGGCCACGTCTGCCCAGGTCAGTCGCACGGACGTCACGGGTGGTACTGACTCAGCAGCCGGGCAGCCTGGTGACCAGGGTCAAAGGGCCCCCCGTGTGTCCCCAAGGCCGGGGTCACACCCCCACAGGGGCCGAGCAACTGGACATAGTCTTCCCACCAGAAATACAACAGAATGAGATAAAAAAAAAAAAAAAGGAAAAAATAAAATAAGTTAAAATAAAATAAAGTAAAATAAATAAAATGAGAAAGTAAAATAATAACATAAAATAAAATAACATAATCAAATAAATTAAATTAAATAAAACAAAAATGCTGTATGAGCCCTGGCCAGTGTGGCTCAGTGGATAGAGCGCCAGCCTGTGGACTGAAGGGTCCCGGGTTCGATTCCCAGTCAAGGAAGGGAGAGGGAGAGAGAGAGAAACATCCATGATGAGAGAGAATCAGGGACTGGCCGCCTCCTGCACACCCCCTACTGGGGATCGAGCCCGCAACCCAGGCCTGTGCCCTTGACCGGGAATCGAACCCGGGACCCTTCCCTCCGCAGGCCGGCGCTCTACCCACTGAACCACACCGGCCAGGGCTTCCCGTGTGTCTTTGTCAATGTTGCCCCCGAGCGGGGCGGTCCCTGCAGGAGGCGGCCCCAGCGATGGACACGGAGGGGCAGGGAGCGTGGGCCTTGACCCCCGAGGGTAAATAAACTCACAGTCCCCTGGGCAGGGCGCCCGCCTGGCC